AATTCGTCCTTGACCGAGTCGTTACTGCAGTCAGTTGGAGCGTACACGCATATCACAAACAAGTTGTGTATCACTTCGCGGTGCCTGTTGATTCTACATGAACCCCGAAGCCAAACTGCATACAGTCGGCTGTTAATCGGGAACCAGTCCAGTAGTGCCGCCTCGGCCTTGCCACTCAGTGCTATACCTATACCAGCCCAACCCGCTGAGGCTGCTTCTGGATCTCCAGAAAGACGCAGGTGATATCTGGCTTCGTGGTCAGTGGGGGATGTCAATTTAAGCACAGTGCTCGGATCTTGTAAACGGGTTTCTGAAAGGCAGCAGACATCAATATCGAGGGACTCTAGAGTGCACGCATCCTATCCAATCTGCATGAGTGTACGAACGTTGAAGCAGACCAGACGGAACGAGGATCGGGGACGAAGAAGAGCCATAGGTTGAACTCCGTGGTACGCGGGAAAACCGGAATCGAAGCCAGATTTGTAAACACATGAATTGGGTATCGGAAAGTAAGGATTGTTAGCAAACCAACAAATGGCGTGTGATAAAGTCGCGTGAATGTGAGCAGCAGAAACGGTAGCTGATGAGCACGTTTTAGTACAGTCCATGGTATTGTGAGAGGGCGTGATACCACCCGGTTGCCCAAGCCGAAGTAGGAAGTTGACTGAGGGGACCCCACCCCTAGCCTTTGGCTAAATAACCTACCCGCAAGGCAGCGGGGCGAATTCAGGGAATCGCGCCCACTGGGAATCACTGGCTAAATGTTCAGTTCATGGGTTTTTGGTTTGGTAGATCACCAAAAAGGGGCCCAATACTCCCATTACGTCAGCAGAATTGCTGGAATACAATGCCCCAGTGAGGTGGAATAATGTTACCGAACACTTCGCTGGGACGGGGTAAACCCGAATCATCCACATAGCACCACAAAGAGGTAGTTCGGCAGGCCATCCGATGGAATCACTGGATATTCCAGTCAGTCTTTCGCATCGATAGGAATTTCGTCAAGGAAGGGGAGAACCTAGACTCCTTCGGTAGCCCATAATCCTCACTCACTATGAATCATTCGTCAAACAATTTCTTGATGCTCTGGCCACCGCAGAGGATAATCAACCGTGCCCTATCTGCTGCATCGAACAGGGTGGATAAGGGTTTGGAAGCTACTGAGCAAGCCTTCCCATCTACTTATTCCCCCTCTTACGCTTTTTCACTCTTACCGTCCCGTTCCAAATTCACATATATCCCCCAGTTTTCAACCCCCCGATTCTTGGCCCTCCCCCAACATGCTTTGCTAGGCATTTATCTTCTAACTTCAGCTCACATGCTAACGCGGAGCGTCACTCCTCTACTGTCGACAAGCCCATGCCCAACCAAGCGGTCCATTCCAGTTCATCGGCTTCCATTTGGAGCCCTCGATCCTCCTTCAGATTGGCATGCCTCAATGTACGCACAGTATTAGATCGGTCAACAGACAGCACTTGCCCGAACATTGGAGACCCTCTCGATCGATATCTGCTGCTTATCAGAGACCCGCCTGCAAGACTCGAGCTCTGTGCTCACTCTGCGATCCCCATCAGGTGACACCAGCAACACTTTCTCATTGCGCCTATCCGGTGACGATGCAGCTTCGATCACCGGGCCAAGATGGTGTTGGCATTGCCCTGAGTCCCCGGGCTGAAGCTGCTCTGGTTGACTGTATTCCAATTAGTAGCCGGTTGTGTGCAGTCCGATTGGCTGGCTCGTTTAAAGCTTCGAACTCGCGCGGAACTAACGGGTGTCTATTCATCACCGCTACCTACGCGCCCACAAACTGTAGCAATGATTCGGTAAAGAACAACTTCTACCGCCAACTGACCCAGCTCCTTTGTCACAGAAGAAGCACGGACACTGCTGTGCTGGCTGGGAATCTGAACGCACAAATTGGGAAGTTGTCCACTGATGAAATGCATCTGGGTGATCAGCACGACGTAGGCTCCCTTAATGATAACGGTGAGCGGTTACTTCATTTGTGTGAAGATGCCCGCTTATTTCTTGCGAGCACTAACTTCCAACACAGCACCCGCCGGAGGGTGACTTGGCGCCCACCAGCCCCGAACCAGCCTTGGACGCAGATCCATCCCATTGCGATAAGTTACCGATGGAGAGGCTACGTCCAGAACTGTCGCTTGATTTGGAGCACATGTGTGGACACTGATCATGCACTTGTATGTGCTGATCTGCGGATGCGTTTTGGTGGACGCCCAAGACGACGCTGTGAGCGCATTGACATCAGCCAACTGACAAAGCCAGCTGTTCTAAATGCGTATCGAAGTACGCTGATATTCGAGTAGTGTAAGCGCTCACTGGAGACAATTAATGGTCACTGGTCACATGTTCGCCAGACCTTAATAGCAGCAGGCAAATCCTCATGTGGTATGCCTAATAGCCAACATGGATATTGGGTCTCTTCGCGGTCTCGGGAACTTAACGACGCTCGCCGGCATGTCCCGGCTGGAAGCGAGCACAATGAAACTCGCAAAGAGCTCCGGACAAGAGTCCGTGCTAGCCTGAAGAGAGACAGCGAATCCTGGCAGTCTCATCGTGCTTCAGAGATGGAAGTGGCCGCTGCACTTGGCAACCATCGTAAGTTATTCCATCTGATACGGGAAACGGGCAACAGGAGACTTGGTGTTAGTGAAACTATATGTGACGAGAGTGGACAGCCTATCCACAATTTGTTAAAACGTTTGCAGCGTTGGGCTGAGCATTTTGAAAAGCTATTTAATCGGCCGGAATTGTTCGATTCTTCGCCGGCCAGTGATTGCCCTGCTCCATGGGCTGTCCATTTGGATCCACCCTCTCGCTCAGAAGTCGAACGTGAGATCGGACTGTTGAAGTTGAGCAAAGCCGCTGGACCAGATGATCTTCCTCCAGCCCTCTTCAAATTCGGAGACCCTTTTCCTGTTGATGCTTTACATGAGTTACTAGTGAAACTGTAGGAGCAGGAGACTGTCCCAACCGATTGGAGCCGCTCCGTTATTGTTCCCATCTTCAAAGGCGGCTCGCGTTCGGAATGCGGCAACCATAGAGGAATCAGTCTGATCTCCATCGCCTCCAAAATTCTTCACAGATTGACCGGCGCTCGTGATGCCAGATTCGTGAGGAGTAAGCCGGGTATCGTCGGGGTCGTGGCTGCATCGTCCACATCTTCACCTTGCGTCAGTTGTTGGAGCACCGTCACACATATTGGCGGCCCACCGTAGTCGTGTTTCTCGACAGCAAAGGTGCCTTCGATTCGGTTGATCGATGTGCCCTTTGGAATTGTCTACTCAGGAAAGGTGTGCCCGAGAAATATGTAAATATTATCCGAGCATTATACGCGCGTAGCACGGGCAGAGTGAGGGCTTACGGCAAGCTGTCGCCGCCCATCATATCTCCAGCGGTGTGAGACAAGGATGCCCGCTGTCACCTTTCCTCTTCAACTTCCCTATTGACAGTCATGGAGATTGCATTTGCAGGACATGAGTTGGAAGGTGTGGAGCTACGCCCAGGAGAACGGCTTCTTAAGTTGGAGTATGCAGACGATATGCCCTCACCTGTGACAGCTCCCAGACGTGCCAAATCCCGCTGGACAGATTAGCACTGGCTGTTAGCCACTTCGGGCTTTGTTTTGCACCATCGAAATGCAAAGTGTTCCTCCAAGATTGGCAGGCATCGCCTCCTGCGATGACCCTTGGTGGGGATCAGCTAGAAGTCGTTCTGAAATTCCACTACCTGGGAAGTTGTATCAGCGCCCTTGGGATCGAAGACGAGATCACGAACCGTATAGCAAAAGCTCGAAGTGCCTTTGTTAACCTTCGCCACTTATGGCGACGGCTCGACATCACTCTCGCCCTGAAGGCTAAAGTGCACAATGCAGCGGTACGTTCGACCTTACTGTACGGTTGCGAAACCTGGCCCCTAAGACCAGCGGACATAAAGAGGCTGGTTACGTTCGACAACCGGTGCCTTCCTAGTTTGACTCCCATTTGGTGGGAACACCGCGTGAGTAACGAGCGTGTTCAACGCCTTGTTTACGGCACAGGAAAAGGAACTGAACCGCTCAGCACCGTCATTTCCCACACCAGGCTCCGATGGCTGGGCCACGTGTTACGCATTGCAGCCCACCGACTCCCTCGACGTGCGTTGTTTGCTCACCGGGGATGTGGATGGAAGAAGAGGAGGGGTGGCCAAGCGATGACTTGATTGAGAGGAATGAAGTCCCTCACTTCGGAGCTAGCCTCGGTTGGAGCTTCACGGCTCCCTGTTTGGGGTCCAAAAGACGGTGAACACGTTTGGCTGGATACACTTGATGACATGGCAAGGAGTCGACCTCAGTGGCGTTCCTGCTGTGAGTTTCTTTGTCCCTCACCATCCCTTCTGGCCTCCCCCTCCATCTACGATCTCATTTCGTAGCGTAAAACATAATAATTTTTTTGCCTAGCAGCTGGCTGGTAGCTTACCGGAACGATGGCTATCCGTTGCTGGTAGCTCAGCTGGCATGCAACTGTTGTATTTATTTTCCTTTTCCTTTATGTGTTGCGGCACAATAGCTGAGGTGGTTCCAATCTCTAGCTGACGTGTATAATGATAATGATGACTGCTTCGGCGTACTATTACGAGGAAGTAAGTCCGTACCCGTAGTTGGCCTTACCACTGACGATAACGCAACCAAAGAAGGTGATAATTCAACTCAACTGATCTAGCCTCAATGTTTTGCTGAGGGGCTATCATCTGTCAAAAATAGTACGCCGCTTAGCTCTTACGGGCAAATGATAGCAACGGACACGTTACAGGTCGTACTCGACATTAGTCCACAAATCGTTGGAAAAACAGCGGTCGATGTTTAAGAGATTGGCGAAGCTGATTGGCTTTGGGGCCAATGTAAAGTGCACGATTACGCTCACATATTTGGTGGGGCTAGCTTGTAGCACAGATAATTGCATCACACGTTCTGTCGCCATCCGTGGTAGAACGCATAGATAAATAATGAATTTGGGCAGACACCAACGAGACACATGCGTATCTACTTGCGGCAACCAGCTCGAAAAAATATAAACTGTATTGTGGGGATGATGAAAAATCAAAAAGATGCAAGCCATATTGGGGGGAATCGGGAAGCGCATGTAAGAGGAGCAGAATCAAGGCAAATGGATTAGCATAGATGATCGTTATCTTGGAAAGCCACAAAGTCCCATTATATGCAAAGGATCTGAAATACGCGCGGTGGCAAAAGAATTGCAACGCTATGGTTCCGGAAGACGTACATTGCAGCACCGCAGATAATTAAGTGGTGGTGGTGGTGATAGGAAAACGGAAGACAGGAGGAAGGGATTGGTCGTGGCAGCAACAAATAGTACGAAAAAAAGCATGTGTATAAACAAATGGATGAACTGTTGATGATCAGGCATCGCAAAGGTAGAAAAATTTGCACGAAAATTCCAACAAACGCAATGATCGGTTTCCCTTTATTGGAGTTGGCAAAAAGCTGGCTCAGAGAGTTAGCAGAGACCAGCGTACTTACAAAATTGGGGTCACTTGTGAGGAAAATACAAAGAAGCGAACGTAGGTGCGGCGACAGAGAGCAGTGGTGTTTGCACAGAGAAGAGATGTGAAACTTGCACCCACGAGTTGGGACGCCACGTGACTAAACTGGGCAGAATCTTAGTGTGAGGATCAAATCATGGAACGTTGAGAATGAACGGGCTACCAGGGACATGTTGATCTCCCCATTTGACAATAAGCACATGTCTTCCAGATTGGTTGACGCGGTAGGAAACGTAGTATTGATTGTCTCCCAAGTGCTTCACCTTGACCTCCTCAAAAGGACGCGTGGGACCGCATATACCAACCAACAAAACGCCTGGTCCTAAATGAATGAAGAAGGCAGAAAAAACGTAATTTCGTGGCGACTCGAATAAGAAAGGTTTCGCAAGTTAGGACACGAGAGAGTACAAGTGTTCCTTACCTGCGGAAGAAGTATCCACTTGGAAGCAGTTGACGTTCTGGACTTCAGCATGCTGCAGTCCCGTGCCTTGGCAAATGACGCGATCAGCGCGTGCTGATGTGTAATAATCGTGCGATTTGGAAGACCTGGTGGTCAAAGTCTCCACCTCAACTTCTGATCTCTGTTCTGTGATGCGGCTAGAAGTGACTGATTCTGGAGTACCAGTGATTTCGACCTTAAAGTTGGGATGAGCAGATAAATGGTGAACGAAATGAGTCCATCAATCGTCCAAAGGAGGAAAATCTGGCGGAAAAATCCATCGGACTGTTGGTAAAGTCCGGGTGTAAGTAAAAACGACAGTAGCCGCATTGCGGTAAACCACGTACACAATAAGCTAACGTAATAGGTAAGGTTAAGAATGAGGGGAAATCAAAACAGAGTGACTTAGAGGATGAAGAAGTAATTGGAACGGAGTGTATGTGACCATCCCCTCTCCCAGTGATAAGGCGGGCATGCTTGGTAAGCGCATCATGCATATAAAGCCAGCGCACGCGTTCCGGAATCGAAATGCGGCAAAATGTGTGGCAGATCATATGAGCGTAATTGACGACCTGCAGCATTAATGACTAAAGAGGTCAGAAAACACCTGGCCCTTTCATTGCATAGGCACACAGTTTGCGAGATATATGAGCATTAAGCTGCATCGAATGATCATGCCGTACACAACGATAAGTACTCGGACATCCTAGGCACTAAGAGGAGGAGACGGGGTGTGAAGTCAGGGCCCGGCAGTGGCATGTAACATCCAATCTGGCCTGCATGTACCGTAGGGTAGGAACCTGTAATTCCTTAGCTCACGCACGAGTGCAGTGCCCTTCTCTCAGTATGGACAGCACAAAACTGTGACTAGCCATGGGGAGCAAGCAGATACATCGAAAGCAAACAAGACATGCACCAAGATATGCAGGATGTGTTAGAAAAAACGGGTTAGGCGGACGGTATTTGATCACCATAATAAAGAGGTGAACAGTGTCCGTTATCTGAAAGATGCGATATTAAAACAGGGTTCCCTATAACAAACACTAGGCAATCACGCGAATCTGTTCACGCCAACCAGCTTAGCAATGCAGCAGCATATACAAATATTCATTCACACATTCTGTACATTGGCTTGGAGTAAGAAACATCCAGGCCATCGTGCCACAGCGTAACTCAATTAGGTGGCAGTAAAAAAAGAGACGGAAAACAACAACAATTCAAAACCAAAGGTTGCGTGTCGCAATCCAATCACCATAATTTGTATTTCAAAATGGTCCTCCAATCGGTCACTAACCGTTGTACCAAGCGTTGCTTGTCGTGACTCGGTTGCTAAAGCGGTAGAGGTCGCAACTAACATTTCAATGTTGCCGGGTTCGAGGCCTGCTATCTCCACCTGATGAGATCAAATTAGCGGAAACGCGTCTCGGCGTGCAGTGTTTTCGGGCAAGCAACATCAAATTTCCATCATTATGCTTGGTGTTCTATTGTGCATTAACAATGAAATCATGATTGGTGCGGGGCTAAACAGAATGGGGCGGGCGAAAGTAATTCACAAAACAGATGCCGCTGAGGTCAGGTTTTCAGCAAGTCGACAAGTGTATTCAACCAAAAATGCTCGTTCCTAGGGACGCAATCAAGTAGTCGGAGCTCCGAATAAGGCCAGCTACGAAGGAAGGTTCTTTGTTTCCCTTGACCAAGTCATCGGTTGATTCCCCTTCCCCCTCTTTCACGCGCGCATCCAGAATTCTCAGACTGCGTAGAGACCCAATGTCTAGGTTGGTAATCCGACTTACACCATAAATACATAGCTGCTGCTAATAAGATCTGGTGAACATGAGACCAATGATCTTCAACCGTGTTCAGTGTACGCTTACTTAACCCGAATTCCAGCATACGTTGATATGCAATCAGAATATCTGGCTTCGTCAGTTGGTTGGTGTCTATGTGCTCACAGCGTCGTCGGGAAGGTTAGCCGAAATGCACCAGCAGATTAGTACCTACAATTGCATGGTCGGACTCCACGCTTGTGTTCCAACAGTCCTAGACGCAACTTGTCCAACGGTAACTGACCGCTAGCTGGCTTGCCGAACAACCTCCTCGTGGTGCCAGCTGGGTGGTTCGGGGTTTTCCCGTTCCAGCAAATGGTTCGGCGGCAGTGTTCCAGGACGTGATGGGTTTTCGCCTGGCAAACGTTCTCCCTATAAAAAGCCACACATGTCCGTTTAGCAACACTGTGACGTGGCGGACGTGACTCGCCACTAAATGAAGTCAGTGCCCCTTACTTCATCCTGGCGAAGCATTGTATTCCAGAAACTTTGTGCTACAATTCTGGGGAGTATTGGGCCCCTCTTTGACAAAGGAACAAACGAAAGGCGTATGAACTGAGCAATCAGTCACGGGCTCCCAATGGGCGCGATTCCCTGAATTCGCTCCGCTGCCTTGCGGGCAGGCTATTCAGCCAAAGGCTCGGGGTGGTGTCCCCTAAGTCAACACCCTACTTCGGCTTGGGCAACCGGGTAGTATCTCGCCCTCTGACGAAATCATGGACTTTAATGTGTTGTGGTGTGTTTTCTTTTACAATTTCTCTACCTTCTTTTGTGTCCCATGGTTTCTGACGGCTCTATGTCTATTCATAGACTGTTGCAAATATATAACTGACCGCGATGTGATCGAGTTGCGTCCATGGCTGATCCGAGATTAGTGAGCCCCATGTTACCCTCCGGCGGGCGCTGTGTCTGAAGTTAGTGCTTATGAGAAAGGGACGAGCATCTTCACACGTGTGGTAACCGCTCACGAGTGCCAATTACAGTAGCCGACACAGTGCTTTCCGCCCAGATTCAGCTCATCAGTTGACATTATTCCAACTTGCGCGTTCAGATCACCAGCAAGCACTACAGTATCCGTACTTTTTCTGTAAAGGAGCGCGTTCAATTGGCGACGACGTCTTTCATCGAGCCAGCGCCACAGTATCTGGGAGAGGGGGCGTAGGCCACAATGACAAACATGCACCTATTTGCTTTGTGGGACTTCGACCTAAACAAACTCTGGTTCTGAAAACATGGACGATGCACGCTGTCAAACAAACGTTTTCACGGAAGGGAGCATTATATTTGTTAATTTGACGGAGTATCGCGCGTCGCGAGACATTCTGCATAATGACCTAGCTAGTGCCGATGTGCAGAAAGTGGCCATGCAGACTATGCATGCGGCAAGCGCGTTAAAATTAGGCGTCCACCGGAAACAGTGGCGGCAGTGGTGAGCGCATGATTACATTAAGGCGCCAAACCTGGTGGTGTGTACATGCTCATAGGTGTCCCTGAAAATTGGTACCAACTTAGTTAGCAGGCGATCGATGCGTTGCCATTCATACAAAACCCGTGTGCATAGCTGACAGGTTCAATGCAAGTGTGGGCGTTCAAGTAACCTCAAACAAGAGTTCATTCAGAGCGCCCTACTCACTTTGTACGGTGATCCCGAAATGTGAAAATCGCCTCCATATTTGACGGAAATCTGATACACGCCAGGAACGCTTGTTATGTAACTGAACGCGTAACCATCCTTCTCCTCCTGCGACTCAAGTAGAACCTTGCTTGGTCCGTCAACTGTTACGTTGAGAACTCCGCTTCCAGCAGCTGACGTGTTAACAAAGAACACATTCTTCTGACCTGCAGGTAAAATGGAAAACAAAAACAAGATGACACTGTGTAGAAAAAAGAGGAAAAATCGCTGTAACATCTGAATGGGTAGCAAGCCCTACCTGCAGACCCATAATAAAGATGTCAACGGTAGGGTGACTTTTGGAAGGAAGTGTAAAGGGTATTTGAAAGAATTGCTACACTATATTCGTAGCAACCAGACATAATCTGGCTCCTATTAGTGAGCGAGGAACAAATCCGGTGTAAGATGATCGCTGAGGAAAGTTAACTTATTTGAAAGAAAGTAAACTGTGGGTGTAATGAACTCCACCCGAGGAAAGAACTGTGGAACCGCGCTGACATTTATCTCTACGGAAGAGAGTTACCGGATGGAGAACGATGCGAAGCTCGCATAGCTGCGCGAAGCTTGCACAAATTTCGCTCGGGCTCACCTCAACTATATTTTCACTATGCAGCGACTCAGATTGGGCAGATAACGACCGAGCCCTCCTCAGGATATTGTTGTATCTACTGCCCCAAGCAGCAGTGAACCAACTGAGCTAACCTCAAGACACTGTTGTATATACCGTGTCAAGCAACAGGGAACAAACAACACACTACCACGTCACCTGCCTTCCTCTATAATTTCTGGGCTATACTGCTATACGATTGCGTTATAAATACAAAGGTGCAGGTGGCATAATTTGCCTTTTGCTGAGTCAGCAAACAAACTCTTGCTAGCAGCCAGTCTTCTTTCCCATCTCTCGGTGCAGTCGTGCGAAGTTACATCTTTCGTCTCTAGCTCAGCTCCCATGTACAACGTCTGGTGGCTAGGTCCCATTTCAATCAGCTACTCTGCGCGTGTGGTATTATCGGTGAGGAGCCTTTCGTCCGTTCCGATTAGGAGCCGAAACAATTAGGACGTGTTATAATCGTCTGAGAAGGATCAATTGTGGGTGGATGGCGCTGGAGTAATAGGCTAATTCTCCTGCATGACGAGTTAAACGATTTTCAGTTAACTCTTGGCTGGCTGTCCAGTCTAACCTTACTGTTGGGTTTACCTCCCCCACTGTGCAAATATGGACAACCAAGTTAAGCTAATATGTTCCGTCGCATGTGAACAGTGGACCAGCTAGACGTGTTTTATTCCGAGGTGGGCAGCCTGGTCAGTTAGTAGTAAACAAGTAGGTGCGGGTGGTCCTCGAATATGTGGTAGCGTTAGAGCAGACAAAAGTGGAGTGTCTTCCATCTGAAGTACGCCACGATACTTTAGAAGTCGATAGTTAGATTATGAATTTTAACACTTGAGACAGAGAAAGTAAGGTACTGCGGATCGACAGATCAAACTGCAGACTGACAAAGATTGAGTTTTCGATTGGATGTTGCCACGCCCGAGTGACAACGATTGATTCATCATAACCAACTGAACATGCGACAGAAGATGTATGTAGCACCGCTAATGGTAATGCTGTGGTAGCTAAACATACAACACTACATAACGATCTGAGAAACATACAGCTTAGAAAACGTCATGTGTATGGGAAGCGTAGATTAGGCAGAACGACTTGATAAGCACACACTAACTGAATCTATGCATTGTGAGAGGCCGTGCTAGGAATTGGAGGACGCTAACTATCGGTCACGCTGACCGCTCAACAAGATCACACGTCTGCCTTGGAATCCGGAGGTCACCAGTTCGAATCCGCTGTATGTGCGGACGACGTCGTGGTATACCCAACCCACGTATAGCCGGTGGTTGTCGCGTGACAGCGAAGCGTAAGCACGATGTGTTGGCGTCCAGCTGACAGTTTCCTTTTCCTTTCTTAATCGTCAACGCATGTGTAGCATGAAACTTCAGTCATAGGTATAGGGAAAGGAACGGCAGGGAACGGGAGAAGTCGCCAAAGTTAATTATTAGCTCTGAGGGAAAGGCAGTGGTACGGAGTGGTGGTCTTGAAATTGGACCACCAGTAATACCGCACAAAATCAGGCGATCTGTTATTAAAGTTACATGACACAGATCGAAGCCGCCAGTTGCGTATTATGCGGGTTTTTCTTCAGTTAAAACGCACAATCAGTAGATCAGCCGCTACGCTGGTGGAATAACAGCGCAGGTGAGAAGTTCTAACAACGCGGAGGCGGCTGTGACAGGACAGTTGCGAAGTTCAGTTTACAAAGGTGAGTGTGAACACAGTTTGTGTGCGTCACGTAGGTGCTAAAAGCAGAATAGGTGGTAAACGGAGTAGCTATGGGTCTACTACGACTGGTAAAGTCAGATGTGGCGTGCTAGGAAGAAATTTGATGACGGTGACTGGAGTTCGAAACAGCTATTGGCCCACTCGGAGTACATGTCTTTCTTTTGAAACACAAACGCAAACACGTAAGTTTAGGAGGGCAGTCGCCGTTGTGCTGTAGAGCGGTTTTATTAAGGTCAAAATCGACCGAATCAAAGTGAGGCTCTCTACAGTCTGGTGACCCATGTTACGAACCGCCCACCTCTGAGAGCATATGGAGATGGAATGAGAAGCACTCTCATCTATATGCATCTCAGTAGTATTCGGCGGGTACGTAACCCATACCCATAAGTCGTCAATCTAAAGAACTTCGGAAATTGCGTGAACCGATGGGTTGACACACAGATATAGTTTTAGTTTTGAAGGAGTGGCGATGTCACTAACGCAAGTAATCGCAGTCCGTAAGCGAAAGCAATGCAAGCTCACCAACCACTTCGGCGGATATGATGCGTGGCGAATTGTGGGCTGTATCTCCAACCAGTGATATCCGTTCCCAATAGGGATTGCGAATGACGTCATTCGAGAATGCCATAATCGCGTGCGTTAGCAGTGTTAGTGTGGTTTGGTTTATTTCTACCTAACAACTGTGATTGGAGCCCTGACGAGAATTTAACCCATCTGTTATAAAAGTTATCACTACGGCAACAGAAACCGTGGTAATGAAAAAGAAAAACAATCGAGAGGCTCATGCGCAATCTCATCGCGACTGCCTTCTTGATTGTGCTAAGTCGGATAGGGTCATCAGCCACAGAAGCAACCGATCCCGAGGACACAATATCCAAAAGCATGAAACACGCCGATTCGGCCGAGTATTCCACAGAGATCATCCTTTCTACTTTTGTCATATTATCAAATGGCGACTATGGATTTTGGCCGGATGAAGTGCAAACAGTAAACAACGGAGTAAATTGTCATTAGACAGGCGAAGAGGGGGAGCAAATAACTGTGGTAGACCCCATTGTAACGTTCAGATCAGTGTAGCATCGGATTGTCTGCATTTGGAAAAAGGAAGTGAAGCCAAGCCGAACCCATGTGGAGAGACTGAGATTGTAGTTAAGAGCAAGAGAAGATTCCGGTAATTCCAAGAGATGCATCAGCTTTCTCATTCCGCACAGTGAGTAAACCGGTGAGTAGGCTATCAGAAGTGATACAGCTACCGAAATAAGCAAATCAATACACAACCTGTCATAGTGTTCCAAGCTGGTGGATCGATCACGTAGAACTTCATCTAAGGGATGACAGTTCGCAACGAAGCCGCCTCTGGAGTTGGAGCGCACAAGATCAAAAAAACGTTAGTAAATGGAACGGCGCGGACAGATCCCACTTATCGAGGTGAATACAGGAACAGCTGCTCACAAATACCCAAAGAATTATAATGGTATTTCAAGAGAAGACTTTTGTACAATGCTGAGGCAGAGCGCCAAAAACAGGTACGAACAACCGAGTTAAAGCTTGCGATTCGTAGAACTCCGACGATATGTGCGTATGTATATGATCATTCCATTAGAAAAGGGATGGAAGACGGCCTAGTTTCACGGGCTTCAAATTTCGAGGACCAGTGATCAAGTTGAATATTACACATGCTAGCAGCTTAGAGTTATCCGCGATGGGGTTTGTGCATCGATGGTTCCCACCCGATGCATAGCGTTCCTATCGCAGAAAGGGATGGTTGTACGCAACCGCTAGTTTGGGAGTAATTAAGCATTCCATCATGCGTCAAAGAAGTTAGAACAAATAGCAGGCAGTCGGTACAATACTTCAGCAGATGGGAAAGGAGGTTATAAGGGTCATGGATTTGAGGGGAAATCGGTTGTCTTTTAGTGATAAGTCTCATATATGCTGCAATCAGTGACGCTAACAGACCAGGTGGATGAGAGTATTTCATCTAACGAAGGCGAAACAGCGGATAAACCGTACTGAGCACCCAAATACTCGGCCCACTTTTGGGGCAATGGGTGCGAAAGTGTATCAACTGCTCGTCTTTCTCATTGGGAGCTTTCTTCTAAAGAGAGTTAGCATGAACCTGTTCAAACTTCATTTCAGGGAGTTGTAGTCACCTAGAGGCTAACTATACAATGGAATCATCTTTGGCACTGTAGAAAGTAACTCGCTAGTCGGATGCAGACGGCGGACGGAAAGATGACTCCAAGAGCGGTCTCCCACTGTATGGAAGGCGATTGCGAACAACATTTGACTTACACATCTAAATTCTAACTAAGCTTGATACTTGAGCTCTATCACAGACCAAAAAGTGGGCGCAAGATGCGCACACATCTGGAATAGTCAAAATGGAAAACAGAACAGCTTGTAGTGACACATCCATAGTAGTTGATGTCGATATCGATTCGGGTTCAACGTAATGCTAAGGCGGGTTGAATCGAGGAGACACAATAAAAACCAGATACAGATGCAATAAATAATATGGATCTGAAGGCGCCACCCAGCAGACACGTAAACGGATGCGGCACACTAAGTGTCAGTTCCATAACGATGGGTGCATTTGAAGTGGAGACGTTCTGATGTCGCTCGCTTGCAGTGCTGAACCCTACCTACGCTGACACGCATGTTAAGGCGCTTAAGATGGAGGGAGCAAGCCTCAACTAGTAAGTAATGATCACCAATTGAATACCTTGATTGGTTAGCTGATTTGTTTCTGCAATCAATTCTAGTATCAGGTGGATATGGAAGTTAGAGTTCATGACATGCACGAACCCAAGGCCAATAGACAAATCCGTCTACCAAGAAACTCTCAGAACCCAGTGCGTTCGAAGTGAAGATTTGTAAAGTGCGATTTAGAATAGCACCTGAGCTCAATCGGATAAGTGCAGACAAGTGGGGATGTCTGTGCAGAGTGAAGATTGAAGCCCTTTGGAATTGCGGTACCTGACTACTGCAGAGGCTAACACATGTCACAGTAATCATGGTACGCGAGCAGAAGTTAAGTCAAGCTAAAAAGAGGCTTGATGAACCAAAGACGGATAAGCCAACACATCTGAAATTACTATTAGACGAACACAGGGTGCAATTTCAAACGGACAGGAAATAAGAGAAAGAGCATACCGACTTTCCCTCTACGCAGGCCGTCCCCGGTAGCGTAAACCATTCCTGGGTCCGCTGTATGATGATTGATGATGACGCGGAATGGAGATCCTTGGATAGGAGAATATGGCGAGGTGGGGCCCAAAGGAAGATCAGCTCGTCCGACTAATTCGCGCGGCACAGCATGGACGTGCACAAAGTGGGGTCCAACTTCTTTAGGCACGAACCGGACAGCGTATTGCCCACGTCCTTTGGACTGAATAGTAGCATCTTCCATTGCTCCAGATGGTGCTTGAATTTGGGCTCTGAGGGCATCTCCATCAGCCAATTGATGATGCACAGTAAAGGAAATGGGCTTGTTCGCCTTAAACAATGAATGAGAAAGACAGTGCAACACCTAGAAAGGCATGAGATGTGATCTAACAGCATGATAAAGATAGAGTGATTTTTGACAACACACACTTTTGATATTTGGCTAACTTGGAGCAAGTTCCCGAAGGATAACAATTCGCGTTCATGAAATTACACAGCCCAGTTGAAGGCGATGCGAGTTGTAAGGAGAAGACAAGACAATAGGGGTGAAGCGCCGGAAGAATTCGACTGACCTGTGGACTGAATTCTTCGGTTTCGTGAGGAATAATATACTTGCGCGTAGGGGAATTAGCCGAGTATGACGGTACCGTGTAGGAAGCCACACGACCAACGACGTCGGAGTCCGCAACATCAATGCGGAATGGAGAAAATGGTATGTGTTCATCGTTGAATTTTAGCGAGCAGGTGTATACCCCAGGGAGTGAAACTCTGTAGGATACACGTGAGGACCCATCTGATCTTTCCTGCAAAGAAAATGCAAGGACTCGCGTATCTAAGGTCCTTAAATGGTCTAAGAGGCAACAAAAACCAAAGATCCTTCTTTTGACTTACTCTGAATGTGTATAGTACCAATCAAGCTGCAGAACTCACCCGACAGTCTATATCGGCCTTGCTTGGACCCTCAATAGCGACAGCTAGAGTTCCAGCACCTGCTTCCCTGGTGTAAATGGTGAACTCATTTGAAACATTCGTAAACCCTTGCTGTAATCCAGGGCCCATTACACGCACTTTATGGGCCATCCCATCGGTGATAGGACCCACGGTAAATTGAAAGGGGCTACCTAAAATTGAAAACGGACGAAAAAGCACTTCCTTTAGTAAACAGTTTTCTGTGTGTATCCCAAGATAAAAGATATGACGGATAGGTGCCCGTCAGAGGAAGTTTGCCCTTATCCTTCGCAAGCACGTGCGTACGACCTCAGCTCAAACTCAAAGGTGTTTCAACGATTCGGTGCCAGGGAACGGTATGTTGATATCACTACATCCAAAGAGCGTTCGCTTATTTACGCGAACAAAGAACTTATCAAGGTGCCACTGATGCATAGACTGAAATGGATGATGAATAAGAAAAATTGCCCAAAACGTTAACGGCAACCGATAACAAGTAAACGTCACACAGTCACGCGCCGGTTGTGTGGATTCCAGCCCAACTCAACAGTCATGCGTGGTAGACAACAAAATTGGGTATCAAACACAGCGCTGAATCAGCTGTTGCAGGGAGTAACGTAAATAGAGGTGCGATAGTACAAAAATGATCTAGGTCAGTGGTTTTCAACCTGGGGGTAATTATCCACAAAGTGGTAAAATGGACCTTTACCGGGCAGTAAATATAAGTTCGAGGTTTGGGTCTTCAATCTGTCGCCTAACAAAATTAATAACGAAATCATCTGTATCAAAACAATTAACTGACTACCTAATCACTTATGATTAGCCATCAGTGACTAATCATTAGTGAGTGGGCAATGAGTGAAGCACATTTCGGTACTAAATTTTATTACTTAAAATAAGAATACAAGCCAGCAAAGCAGCGCATCTAGATGGCCCCTCTACCGGCTCGCTCGTCGATTTTTTGAGTCGGGCAGTCGTTCGCTCGGTCGAATTACAGAGTTGAGTGAACACTAAGGTGGAAGCATAGGTCAGCCAATCAGGTAAACGAGCGAGCGAATGTCTACAAGGTAGAATGAACAAGAGGCGATTAGTGTTCAGGACCTAACAACACAGAATGGTGGTGGGATCCTGTCATTCAGGAAGTTGTCGGAAGGAATGGTTACAGCAAATAAGTAGCCACAGTGATATCTGTTCAGGTTTGAGCACGGATCACACACCAAATTAAGGAACCGAATGAACTTGGAGCATGACTTACGATGTGCACTAGCCGAAGGCGTACCAAATCTACCAGAAATTGTTAGAACTAAGCAATATTAACCGTCTCATTGACGTAGATCACCTCTTGCTAGAAATAGGTGTTTTCATTATTTGAATGATAAAATGTTGTCAAAGTAGTACTCATTTTCTGTACATTCAAACAAAACGCACTAGTTGATCAGCTTTTTAAACTAAAAATGCTCAACGTGAACTCGTTTTTGGGGTAATAACCTCATAAAGGTTGAGAATCACTGTTATAAAGATCGCACAGACATCATTTACTTCACTGACTAGCCAGATATTGGTGTTCCCGCAGTCTGACAGTCAGAGATGGCAACTATTTCACTTAAATGCACATACTTTCCTATCCAAGTGATGAAATGAGTGTGCGATTTCTTTCTCATAGCCAGCAACGTACTGTTCATTATCGCCCTAAACCCGGAAATCGGGGATGCAACGCTGACTACTTCGCTTACCTCAATGCGGATATCAATCCACTAAGGAAGACGGTCGCTTTTGGGATTGCGGTAACCCTCTATCATGTGCTGGGCGGCTCCATGGACTCCGTGACTTGTTCCAGTGTCCCAATTGGTTCAATCATTATCGCTACCATCTTAAGCGTTCGTCACCCTTGGCTGACGTTTGTTGACACGTGTCATCATGATCTTTGAACCTAATTCGCTAAGGCCAGACTCCGGGTCAGACGTACTTAGGAGTACCTGTACATATAACCCCCATTACTGTGTTACATCACGTGGTCACCATTGTGCAATGATCTCTGACTAGCATTCAAAAACACTATTCCTGTTTGTATTTATCACAGAACTGCCGATCCTTTTCCCGCGGAAACGACAACGAGCAACTGTCCAGACGGAGTTGAGACGCCAGACACAGGTCACTGTCTGTCTCGTTTCGGAGTGGGAACCGTTTCGGATCCTACAGCGCATTCTGATTCAGCACCTTACGGGGTCACCTGCCGTAATGGCAACACCACAGGCAAAACCAACAAGGATCGTGCCACCAGCGTTCCGGATAAGCCAAACCGAATTCGTGCTCCAGGTACAACCCGTACCAGTCACAAATTGGGCATCACTACTAGTGCAGTGCGTCCTCAACTGCACCCTTCTGGAATACCTGAAGACGGTCAACCACAGTCGACAGATGCCTCACTTGGTTCGTTGTCTCGTTCCTCCTACATGTGTCGTAAGTGCCGAGCTCATGGGAAGTTGTTGCCGGTGAAGCAACACAAACGCAACTGTCCGTTTCGCAACTGCACATGTCCGGTATGTTCTCTGGTGAACTATGGCCGGCACATTGTGGCTAAACAAATCGCGTTGTACAGAGATCAGAAGAATCACGCCCACCTTGTGGTGGCTCATCCCAACCGGACTTTGGGTGGCACCCCGGATGGTTTTCATTCGGCGAGTATGACTCATCCACAACACCATCATCACACGTTCAGAGAGATGAGACACAGGCGCGTCGAGGTGGATATCGTCGAAGACGAGGGCCCCCATTGTCGACGGTGCCGGAACCATGGGAAAAGTACTCCTTGGAAAGGACACAAAAAGACTTGTCCATATCGATACTGTATCTGTCAACAATGTATTCTGATATCACTGCGCAAGTCGAACGAGAAAAACTTGAGTAAGTCTGGACGATCTGAATCTACCGCCGCGCAATTTTGCGCAACCAGGGTGTCACGTTCCGAAATCATTCCCCCCCCCCCCAATTACCGGGTCTATCAAAAGCACTGGTGTGCTACTTAGGGCGAGTTCACCATGGGCCACTCTCATTCCGGTGATCGTGTACAGTGGGAAAGTGACTCACTGTGCTCGTGACCCCCATCCTCCTTGTTGGACAGCGGCTGACAAGTCAGGGATTAGTCATTTGATCACGGAGCTTTACGTAACTGCAATGGGTTGCGAGAGATGTTAACTTTTGAACCCAATATAGTATCCATGCCGGAACTGCGATAACAATCACCCTATTTTTTCACATTACCACCTCCAACTTGAATACACTTTGGTTTCGGTGACGCAATTGCTCAGTATCATCCAAGTAGGAGTGACTTTCAAGCTTGGGCTTTGGAGTGCGATTGCGATACATAATGTCAATTGGGACCTCGGTCATTCTGATCACTATGACCGTATCCAAAGTTGTGGGTATTCGGAATAACTGAGGTCTACCTCAATGTAAAACGAGGTCTCAATAGAGGTTGCCACACGCAATCTAACCACAAGGCGGATACTCTAAAAACCAACTTTGATTTCCTGACATCTGTGTCAAGTATTGCTCACGGATCTCAGTTGCCTAGTGATCAACGCGTCAGACGTCAGCCATCAGGTCACGAGTTCCACACTCGTCTGCATCTTCCTCTACCTTAACACACCGCGAGCGTATGTTGGAAATACTGTCTACACTAAGCGTAAATCGAATCCCCAATCGTAACTGTGCAATACTGAATCCGTAAATTGGCTACACCAAAGAATATTTTGTGACTGAAATTCGTCCAAAATGTATCTCACTGGGATGACCAGTGTGATTTAACAAAACGGACACTCAGCAGCAATCTAACGGTTACTCACGCTGAAATTACCATTTTACTAAAAAGTAATCACCAGTATGCAAAGATAGCGGTTTTAAAGACTCAGCATCGTATTTAACAACATATCTAAACATATTACGCCATTTCTTTTCCCATTTTCTTGGCTTTGCGAGTAAACAAAAGCATGCTCAAACGGGACGGCTGGCCGTCCATCTGGGCGCGCGGAGAAGGCAGATGAAAAGTGGGCATTACTCCGAAGCCAGTTCATCTGGGGATTTCACATCTAAACAACTCATTCTAAACGCATAAGTTGGAGAGGCATCACGTGTGACACCAGCTGTTTATATGCTTTTCACTTTTTATGCCTGTAAAGCACTGGTACTCGACCTGGGGGTAATTACTCCCAGGGGGGCAAAATGAGGTTTTACAGGGGGTAAATATAAGTACGGGGATTGGGTCAACAATCCGTCGGCAAACAAAATTAGTAACAAAATCATATGTATCAAAACAATTAACTAACTACCTAATCAATATTGATTAGCCATCAGTGGCTAATCATTAGCGAGGGAGCAGTGGACTAGATAACTTTCGGCAATAACTTTACTACATAAAATATGAGTACAACCTTGCGAATCAAGCACCTCAGCCACATGACACCTCTATCCGCTCGATCGTTGTTCATTTGAGTCAGGCACCCGTTTGCCAGGTACAGAGTTGAGTGAACACTAAGGTGGGAGCATAGGTCAGCGGACCAGTTAATAGAGCGAGCGAATGTTTACAAGGTAGAAGGGACACACAGGCGATTAGTGTTCAAGGCGTATCGATACAGAATGGTGGTTGGAAACTGTCATCCAGGAAGGACTTGGAAGGGATGGTTGAAACAAATGAGTAGCCACAGTGACATCTGTTCAGGTTTGATCACGAGATCACACCAAATTAAGGAACCGAATGAACTTGGCGCATGACTTACGATGTGCACTAGCCGAAGGCGCACCAAATCTAGCAGAAATTGTTGGAACACTCACATCCCCTTGATTATTAAAAAGTTGCCCAATGACAGGCGCTTTCTTTATTTGAGTGATCGAAAGTAATTAAAAATCATATCATTTCCGTGATTGAAAGAACCAAAGAAAAAACTAATAGATAATTAGTTTTATAAACCAAAACGTTTTTGTGTGGGGGGTAATTGTTTTATAGTGAAGCAGCTTTGTGGGTAACAATCACAAAAAGTTTGAGAACCACTGATCTAGGAGATGTAGAGATCAGCGTTAAAAAAGCTTTGCTGACTACCACCATCGAATTCGAAGGCACGGTAGGTTGGCTTGCTGTAAACTAACCCAAGTTATGGAAAAATGTGTGCAAAAACAGAGCGATAGTTATAAGCATGCAAAGTGAATTTGGATGTACAAGGAAGGAGAATGAAATTGCACCGTACCGCAGATCGCAATGTGAAACGATAATTAGTAAAGTTACCAGCTACATCGAGTCCTTTGTGCTTCACAATGACCAAATGTTCACCCAACTCCTGGGGTACGAATTTGATGCTAAAGTGACCCGAGCCGATGGGAATCACTTCACAAGGAGTGGATCGTCCAGACGGAGCCACAACCGAAGCCTTCAAATCCGCAAGATTGGTGTCTGAAATTTAAGAAATGAAGAGACGGTAGTACTTCGCCCTTAGAATGAATTTGGAATTGTGTGAAATAAACTGGAGGAATGGGTCAAGATGGAAATAAATAAAACGTGGAGTAACAATCAATCCTCGGCCTATTCAGTGGAAAATGGGGCCAAAAAATTTATAACTAAAAATCCTGCTACTCCAGAGTAAGATAAAATAAATAGCCTCTCCTAGTTTCAAATACTAAGGATATAGCGTCTAGTTAGAGGACGTTATCACCTCGCAGGCTAGCCACTATCAGTGGCAGTGGAAGATAGGTGGTGCTATATCCCAGTTAGATTGCAAATTATGTAGCCCAGCTAACGTCCTCCATGGCTCAGTGGCTTAAGCTGCTGGCTAGTTGGCATCTGCCTCTAGCTGTCATAGGCTCGATCCAGAGCCGAGGGAATGCGCACTACTGACGAGCCACAATAGGACGAAATGCGTCTGGTGCTTTTCCGCACGAGGCTGTGCTATGCAGCTTGTGAACTACTGGGATGAATGACTTTTAAAAAATTACAACTAAAATCCTGCTACGCAAGAGCAAAAGACCCATGTGTCGACACTATTTGCAGTGCTCCAGCTAACTATCCAGAAAATACCACCTGATCATCTATGAATCAATTTTGCTAAGAAGGTATCTGGTATTAAGTAACCCCTACATGGTTGGCGGCATCCCATTCCGGATTCCACACCCCCCTGAATGAGCTCGGCACATTCCGAAAGCCAAGTTGTAAAACGACTGGAATTCTAACAGTCTAGACCAACGCATATGACGGCCATGAAGAGGTTCTGGATATACTCCGGGAGAAAGCGCGGTAGTAAACTACGCGCCAACATTCATGAAGAGGAGAACGAAGATGCGTGAATCTACCTGCAACTTGTAAACTGAGCTCGCAACGGCTGCCAACTGTGGTGATGGAGGATGCTTCCTGACGCTGGGTAATTCGTTCCGTAATCCGTGTCGAAGGCTCACCATCGATTTCCACATAAAAAGGACTATTGGGAACATGTGCATCTGCGTATTTCACATTGATAACGTAGGGACCGGGCTCAGTGGGCACATAGGTCACAGAACAGGTGCCGTCTTGCTTATCCTGGCATTCGATTTCTGCCTTACTTGGGCCTTCGATTGACAGACCCAATCCAGCATAACCTGAGGGGAGGGGAGGAACAAGAGTCAACGTATTATGCGTAGATCGAGCATCAATGATACACTGATCGTAAGCGAACATAGACAAGCAGACCCACCTGCATCTCGGGTATCCACTGTGAAATGGTTCGGTTGATTAGTTCTGCCTCCTTTTAAACCAGGACCGAAGACACGCACCTTTCGTGCGTCACCGATTTCTTTCTGAGAAATACTGATGTAGAATGGACTATTTGGAATGTGTTGACCTCTTTGGAAGACACTAATCACATGTTCCCCAATCTCCTTAGGTGTGAATGAGATCCCTGGAACAAAGTCGAGCGAGTGGAGTCGTATAAAACAAAGGAAGCATAGGGTGCATCAAAAGAGGAGACATTCATAGCACAGGAGGAAATCACAATAACGTAAGCACATCGTGTTCACTCACCGAGACGATTTTTGGGAAGTCGCTTTAGAATGCATGAATCTTCGCGGCCGGATGGGGAACGGACGGTGGCTGTCAAAGACGCAATATCATCACCGAAGTCATCCAGTGTGATGTCATTAGGCGACCCCATGTTTAACTGAGCGCGGTTAAACACGTCCCCTGCTTGAGAGGAAAAATTTGAAGAATTAACATATGTGGCGAGACCAAAATAGCAGCGTGAGAAAGACTTTACCGAATTTTGTTTGCAGTAAGTCAGTTTCTGACCTCCATCCAGTGGAAGCATGGATACCGATGTGTCTACGAAACTAATGCTAAGCTGGGTACCGTAATAGTATTTATGCTGGAAGATAGACAAGGCAACGGAGACGCCAAGCTGAATGCTGGCAGAGTCTATAGTTGGTCAAGTATAGAGTACTGGCTAAAACATAATCGAGAAAATTAAACCGCAGTTTCAATCTTCAAGCATGGCGAAGATCCACGAAAAATCAGCGTGAAGCAGGGAAAATTCACGAAACTAGACACTCAGCGAAGGAATGTGAAGAATGTGGGGAACAGACTATTGGGTTTTGAAGTATCCGCTGTGAGTCGTGGATTGCGACACACAATCTCAATTGTGGCTTCGGTTGACTTTGAAGTCAGCATGTGCTCTTCTAATCAATGGGACTGGAGAGAGCAATATTGGAAGCCTTCATGTAGGAACAGAATGCGCTTTCAGTTAACTTTCGTTGTGCACACTGGGTTATCGGTGTAAAACGGGGAAGTCTGATTATTTCATAAGATAAAGTTAGAACAATAATAACACACTTTGTTGACCTTGGCGAATTAGCAGTGGAGCGGCCATGAAGCCACAGGTAACATGTCTAAAAAATGCGAACAACTCTGAAGTGCGGAAAAACGCTCGAAACAAAGTAGAATCCACTGGAACGTGAAGATCTCGATAGGAGAAAAATTCGCACCTAAAAGGCACTGGACCGAAGTCAGTCGTATGAAAGATTGGTGAGAAACACAAGTGATCGCTTAAAAGCATTCCATTGCAAGCCACACAGGTTTATATGCCTCATTTTTATCGCAATTTCTCAGACAAGGCATAAAGATTGCTTCGTGACGACAATGAGTGACGACGAGGTTCCGAGTAAAATCTCTTATGAAGCATAAGGTGTTGATGTATGTTAACTATGCGAATTGAGTCTCCCAGTGACACATGTGCCATAAGACTGAGCTAGTCTCCATTCCAAATACAGCAACACTAGTGATTATGGTGTATACGACTGTGGCGTCGCTGCGCAAACCAACAAAGCAGTTGTCATCCAATCGATCAACCGTCTTAGGTCGTCCGAGTCATTTGAGAACTCTACTAATTCCAGGCCCGAAGAGGGCCAAGATATGGGCCGAGCAGATTTAAGCTCGTTCCCTGCGCCCTGGAATTTAGTCCATGTGATAGATAAAAACAAGATAGAGATGACGCGGTGAGAATGCGAAATAGTGATCAGTGGTACAACATGATCCAAGAGGAACATATGGAAAACACAAAACACTGACCCGTAATCTTGGCCACAAACGGGGAGCCGGGAATGTGTTGATCAAGGAATTTGATTGATATTGTGTATTTTCCAGGGGCCAAAGGGAGGTAACTCACGCTACATGTCTTGTCACTGTTTTCTACGCAGCGTATCTCGGCTTTTGATGGGCCCTCCACGGAAAGCGACAGACCACCTATGGGTGAACAGAGTGTGACAAATCTGTTAGAATGGTATGAGCTTAATTCCCAGACGATTCATAGTCATTAACTGCGAACACATAAAATTCTGAGGCACCTTCGATAATGAACGCTGAAGTGCAGCACAGGACGTGTTGTAGCTCAGGAGAGGTAAACATATGGCAGATCGCAAAATGATAATAGTAGACGAGCGATGAAGATTCGCGGTGATATTCAACCACCTGTTTCGCTCGCATAGACATAGAATCGAGGTGCACGTAGACTTGGGAAGAGAGTGGATTTCAAGGAACCGTGTACATATTCGCTTCTGGTAGGAACAACGCTCAATATCTGACCTCAATGATTTAAAGTTTAGACAAAGTTTATAGACACAAGTATGAAGCAACTGACCACCTCCAGCTTCTTTGGCGGCAATAGTGAACTCTGCCGGTTGGTTCACGACGCCGTGGCTCAGACCTGGTCCGTAAGCAGTCACGTATCCAGTGGCCAAACTGTCGACGTAGAAGCGATACGGACTACCTTGCAACGGCATCGCCACTGTGCTGCTGCGAACATCACCCGATTTCACCGCTGAGAAACTGTTCACATGCAACTCGTGCATGCCTTGTTCCATCGGTTCATACGTGATAGTAATGGTGTCATCATCATTCAACGTGTGGGCCACATGCTGTTGGACGCCAGATGGTCGGATGACAACACCTGAATGAGTAAAAGCAGTCCAATGGAAGAGCACGGAACTCCAGCATCGTCAACACTCAAATAACGGATTAGTATTGGTCATAAAACATAACCGAATGGATATAATTTGACGAATAGCATGCAAGTTGAGTAAAAGTGACTACGAAGCTGTCAGTGAAAAAAGCGCCGATCAGAAGAGTGTTGGTGGGAGGAAATAAGAGAGAGAATAATAGTAACCGAAACTTGAGGGGAATGTACTCGAGAAATTGCAAAAGTACGGGATGCTAAGTTTAATTACAAATAACCCTAAAGCAATAGTCACTTGCATAACGTACTTTCGAGCTCAGCGTCTCCGCGAGGCGCCGGAAGTCGAAATTCGACAGGCCTATAGATAGCGACCGGTTTCTAAATTAACAGAAGGGGAAAGGAACAGCAAGTTTGGGGATGGGGAAAACGTAAACGAGTAGAAGAGTGGTCTATTAAATGTATAGGAACTAAGCATAATAGTAAGAATACTTTCCATCTAATGGGAAGTAGTTCAGGTGTGAAAATGGTTGTTTCCTTGATAATCGTCTTTTAAATGGTGGATGATACTCAAAACTGCATGTGTTTTACTCAGATCAATCAGTCGGTCAGTACTGAAACCAGCACATCTTATATTCCGCTGCAAAGGAAAGCATAGAAAGGACTTTTGGACATCCCCGTAAGCCAGAGCGAGGTTCAGAAGAGTATGGCTGGCGGCATCCGGTTCCGGATTTGTCTGTCACGGTGGCCTCCACGAGAACAGCCACAGAACGCCTGCGCCTACAGGGGAACCATGGGTAGCTTGCGCTGTACCAGCCACAGTTCCAAACACATACCTAATATCCGGTGTAAAGCCGAAGGAATACGAACGGGAGACATGTGGATGGGAGCCAAGTTTCGTTAACGAAGCCGTCCCATACTCCTTCATAGGCAAATACACGCACGCCGTATTGGGGAAATCAAACGCACACAAGGTTAAACCGTAGCCTACTCCACACACAAACCATGTGCATAGAACCACTCTTTGAGCCTAACACGGTCACGAGGGTCGTGTTTCGCTGCCATACAACCACGATGACCTATGGAATAAAGAATAATAAGAGAGAGAAGAGGGACTTACCGGAAAACCGTAATGCCCTCAGCAAACAATCAGGATCAAGGCACCTACACATTGTCCACCACATGCCATCACAAAAAACTATTGTATAAAGATAAGGCGGCATCAGCGAGCCAGCTTCCAAGTGATTTTAATTGCCCCGCGTCATAAACAGCCATTACGCCGCAGATAACTAAGCACCAAACACACTTTCAACAGGTAGTCCGACTAGGAGACGACAGCAGACACGCCACTGGTGTCGACTGCGAGCCATGTCCTGTAAGGCCTGAAGACAAACACAAGGTGGGTCATATGGACTCTAGCGTGGAAGGCGAGACGGACTGACAGCATCGAGTTTGGTCGTCAGTGACTTCATTTTCCGCTGCCAAGTCAACTTCTGTCCACCCCGAGCCTCGCGCCACTCTACTTATGGCAAACAAAAAGTGATCAGGCAAACGTAGTACGTGACCAAGCCAACACAAATTATTCAGAGCTAGCTGTTGTTCCAGGAAGCTAGCATGCTTATCACTGCAAAGCACTCGCCTACGCACATCATGGTTGCGGACACGCTGGTGCCATCTGACGCCAGCAATTCTTCGCAGACAGCGATGATCATAAACTTGAGGGCGCCGCAGGTCCTCAGATCGAAGGAGCTAAGTTTCACTACCATAGAGTAGGAGGGCCCCCTGTGGCCATGTAAACGGAGAGAAACTCCTTTCTGACACCAAACATGTCGAAGATTTTAAAAAAGAGCTCTGGTATTTGTAGTTCGTGAATTGACTTCGGTGGTTATGCGCCCATCGTAGTTGATGCAGCTACCAAGTAACTGAATTAATCAACCGCCAATAGTACCTCGCTAGCAAGAGTCAAGGGGTAATCAGATTGCTGGGGGTCCTGCAGCAACACTTTGCACTTTGAAGGTACATAGTGCATGCCAAATGATGGGACCACTCTACACAGGTTATTCAAGGTTGATTGCGTTGCCCCAGCATCGCTAAACAGCAAGATGATATCGTCCGCATAATCAAGGTTAACTAGCCTTTCACCAGGAAGTACTTCAACCCCTGCATCATGAGGTTCCGAAACGGAACACTCCATGAAGGAATACACGACGCAATTAAACAAAGATGAGGAATTCGAACAACCCTGATGAACGCCACTTGTTAAAAGAAAGATAACTGATAAGTCACCGAAGACCTTGACGCGGCCTGTCATATTCGAGCATAAAGCACGTAAAATGTTCACATCTTTCATAGAAACACCTGTCCGCGCAAGTACTTCGAACAGAATGCATCGATCCACTGAGTCGAACGCACTCTTGAAGTCGAGGAACACAGCTGTTGTCGGTCTGCGCCAAGCGTGGCGTTGCTCTACCACCTGTCGCAAAGGGAATATATGGTCCATACAGCCCCACCTTGGGCGGAAGCCTGCCCGCACTTCCCTAATCCGTGATTCTCGCTCCGCAGTGAGGCGACGAAGGAGAATTGAGGCAGGTACTTTTGTCACCACCGGCGTTAAGCTAATACTCCTATGATTAGCAATTTCGGTGCAACTGCAATTCTTGTATATAGACACAATAATCGATTTAATCCAGTTACCCAGTCATACACACACGTACATAATACAGGAAGACCGATGGAGGCAAAGGAGACAACTAGGTCGCTGCCTTTGATCGACGCGAGCGACACTCAAAATTAAGAAAAGGGTTTGTATTGACGTCCACTACTTGCACAATTCGGGCTGCGTCAGCCTAACCACACTGAGTGCATGGAACCCCTATTCGAGCCCAGCACGGCCACAAGGACCGTGCACCTCGTCCGCTCCAGCAACGACCAACTGTCTCCTACAGCCAGTATGGACGGGGTAGTGGGTAATAGAGAGGCAGGCACCTTGTCAACATGTGCACCAAGCGCAGTCACACCGGGGATATCAAGCAACAGCCATTCACTTGAAACGACAAGATGAAATAAAATAAGTCGAATAATGCATAGAGATACACAATTGGTTGGCGGCATCCGGTTTCGGATTTGCCTGTCACTGTGGCCAGCCACAGGACGCCTGCGCCTACAGAGGGACCATGGATGGCTTGCGCTGCACCACCCACAGCTCCAACCACACACACCATATCCAGTGTAAACCCGAAGGAATAAGACCGGGAGGCATGCGGATGGGAGCCACGTTTCATCAACGGAGCCGGCCCACACTCCTTCACAGGCAAACACAAGCACGCTGTATTTGGGGAATCAAGCGCACACAAGGCGGTGGCTGGACCGTAGTCCGCTCCACACTGACTGCATGGAACCACTCTTCGAGCCTAGCACGGCCACAAGGACCGTGCACCCCGTCCCCTCCAGCAACGACCAACTGTCTCCTGGAGCCAGATGGACGAGGTAGTGGGTAATAGACAGGTAGGCACCTTGTCAACATGCACATCAAGCGCAGCCACACTTGGGATATCAAACAACAGCCAATCATTCGAAATGCCGATATCGAATAAAGTAAACGCATATGACGACATAAATACTCGCTAAATGAGCATATGGAAGAAATTGGTTAAATGTGAATACGCGATAAGTACAAAATGTCCGAAAGCCATTTAAAAAATACTACGCGATAAAATTACGCAAGTTTACCACAATTTGCATGAGCGACGTGTGTAAGTTGGGAGAAGATTATCAAGTAGGCAGAAAAAAATAAATAAAATGTAATGAATTTTATCCACATTAAAAAGACCTAGTTTAAGTGTAAGTTGGTTTAGCCCAACTGCGGTGAAGAAGCATCATGAATGCAACATCAGCCTCAGCATGGGGCACGAGATACACACACGAGATACACAATTACATACGTAAATACACCCATACACCCATTCAATGTTGTGTCAAACATGCAGACAGGCTTAGCTTGTCTGTGGCTTGTCTGCGTAAGCCACCAGCCTCTTCGATCGGCCGACACTTAATGACCACAGGTCACCGAGTCGACGTCAATTCGGCGTTCACAATCCTATTACAGCACACCAATTCTCGCCTCCTCCGTTTCGCAGAGGCAATTGCAATTAACCGGATTAAGCCGATGCTTTGTGTTCAGAAACAATTATCGGTCAGCATTAGATTGCCCTGAAGATAGGGGTAATAACCCTGTCTCACTTATCATGTGTTGGTCTGTTTGTATGTGAAGCAGATGGAATGCTACGCCGAACGCCGTCAACACAAGGAATTCTTTGACTCCTTGAAGGCGGTGTATGGACCGAGATTGGAGCCGCTGAGGACACTGATCGATGGTAGTTCAGGCGCTACCTGCACCCAGACTGCAGACATAATGCAGATCTGGCGGAAACACTTTGACTGTCTCTTGAACAACCGTTCAGAGATCGACTGGCCTACATTGAATGGCCTGAAGCAGCACGATGTGAAGGCGGATCTGGCAGATACGCCGAGACTGGATGAGACGCAGAGAGCACTTGCTCAGCTGCGAAACGGCAAATGTGCCGGAGGTGACGGGATCCCACCTGAAGTATTGAAACACGGTGGACCCGCGTTGTTGACTGCGCTGCACCACTTGGTGCAACGCGTGTGGATTGAGGAGGAAGTGCCTTCTGAGCTGAAGGATGCCCTTGTGCTACCACTGTACAAGGGCAAAGGTAGCAAGCAATGTTGCACGAATTATCGTGGCATCAACTTGCTGAGTTGTGTGGGCAAGGTGATTGCCCGAATCCTGCTCAATCGCCTCGTGAGTCAGATTGTGGAACCTCACGTGGCGGAAGAGCAATGTGGATTCCGTTCGGGTCGCAGCACTATAGATATGGTGTTTGCGGCTCGTCAGTTGCAAGAGAAGTGCAGAGAACGACACCAGCCTTTGTACTCGCTTTTTGTTGATTTCACCAAGGCATTTGATACGGTGAACCGCGAGGCACTGTGGCTGGTGTTGGGTAAGTTTGGTTGCCCGCGTAAGTTTGTAAGTTTAATTGAATGTCTGCACAGTGGTATGCGAGCGAGGGTGCAGCTGAGTGGAGAGACCTCTGATGACTTTCCAGTTGTCTCTGGTGTGAAGCAAGGCTGTGTGTTAGCTCCTGCCCTGTTTAATATCTATCTTCATGCAATGTTGTCTTGTGCTTTTGATGCGGCTTGTGTTTACGGTGTTCGTGTGGAGCACCGTATTGATGGTGGGTTGCTGAACATCCGTCGTTTCGGTGCGAGAACTCTAGTCTGTGAGACAACTATCCGTATGTTGCTGTTTGCTGACGACTGTGCGTTGTTTTCACACAACGCGGATGAGTTGCAGCACATGA